CCCCCAAATAATTATATTTTGAAACAGTTTCAATGCTTTTACCCTTCCAAAACCATTTTTCACTGTTTTTTAAACGACCCCCTTTCCGAAAAACAATAATTTTAGTTTTCTTAAGGTTCACTGTAAGTCTCCACTTTGAACAATAGTCTGCCAAATTATTCAATAATCGTTGTAAACGAATGGGTGTACTACTAAACAGAGCCAGGTCATCTGCATACAATAGGTAACACAATTTCAAAGCACACAGGTAAACTACACTTTCATGACCTCGTTGACCTCGTCACTGGTATTCTGGAGGGCACCGCTGAAAGCAGGAGATTGCAGAGCAGTTCATGCTTGATCTTGCTTCTATGATTGAAAACTTGTAGATATTTTATAGTAAATCAATTGTTATAGCCTTAAAATCCTGACCTACATGTAGTAGTGTAATGTTTGTATATTTGGTGTGTAAATTCTTTTTGTGTGTACTATTATGAGTACCGTATAATTCATTCAGAAGCCATTTGTTCTCATTACAACCTATGTGAAAATTATTGTTGATAAACTAAAAAAAGTTTTGGAACCAGTTTGGAATTTTGAAGATCACTGAATTACAAAAATTTACAAATAGTTAATAGATTTGTAAGCTATACTTTATGCTGAACCAAATGTTTCATGTTTATCTTTTTTAAATCTTTTTATAAAATTCCAGATACAATGTAATTTTGTGTTTTTTTTGAAGGGAGGGGGAAGAGATACATGTACATTGTAGGGTCAAACAATGAGTGTCTAATTTGTAGGTTGTCATGAATAAATGATAAATGTCACCTACTCTGGTGCAGCCTAGAGTATATTTGAATTTGGTTACATATGGGTGTCTCCACAAATGCCTAGGTATGTGCATGTAGAATGCCATTATTTTCAATATTTCATGTAGCTACATGTATGATTGTGATTGATTCATTTACTCAAAATCAAATATTTATTTTTTATGTGCAGACAATGCCTATGATCCCGATGTCTCAGCCAAGCAAATGTGGATTGATGTACGTTACATTAAAAATGAATTGTGTCTGTCATTTACTGACGACGGTGCTGGAATGTTACCGGATAAACTCCACAAAATGTTGAGGTGAGTCAGCATGTGTGACAACAAATGTCGTTCATGGGCTGCTTTTGTAACATTGCCAACAAGTTTTATTAACAGGAACACATATATGTATATTCAATAACAACAGTAAACATCATTACCATATTTATCCGGGTATAAGCCCAGGGTCCTGAACATGGAAAATCGCCAAAAAGAAGGGGTGGGCGTTTGTCCGCTTATCCCCGCCAAAAAAAAACGAAAAAAAATGTGACAAATATTAAAACCAAAAATAATAAAAATCGACAGTGAAGATTCATTTCAATTAGAATATCCCCGTCGACAAACACGACGCCCCATACACGTGAATTATTTCCAGTTTTGACAAATACCGGATCAACAGCCATACAAGATCAATAATAATTTACGCAGTAAAATTACGAAAGTTCATAGCTGTTAGGAAAAAACCCCATCTAAGATCTCTATTTGTACGTTCATTGCTATCTTCCTAAAAGTCAAAACCCTGAAATTCCAAGTCGGGGCCACTGTCGTGATCGAACAAAATCCTTATAGCTTCGTCTTGAAGTTTGTCGATGTCGTCCCACACAATTTGGACTTAGCACATTTAATCCACGGATTTCGCTGTCTGGTAGCTTGGCACTTTTAATTCATGTCTAATCAGAATAAAGACACAAGAAAAATGGGGTCGCGGCTCGCATGATGCTTGTGTTTACCGTCTGGCAATCATCTTTGACCTTCAAGCATCCGCTTTACCAATTGGCTAAGAATGACATCACTACTAGTGTTTCATCATGGAGGTAAATTCAACATCGCCTTTTTATCAGACTAGGCGTTCGTTCATCAATCATGGTGAAAGTTACCATTCAGCAAGTTATATGGATATCGCGGTGGCCTTGAAATAGGAAGATTTTTTTTTCCCAACAACAGAAGAATAATTTCCATAAAATGCAATAGCTGTGGTGAAAGATGGTAAAAAAGTTGGCAGTCTTCGGCATAACATTGCAAAATTGCTGACCCCAGTTATGGATTCGCAAAAATGTTGTAAAGCCAAAACAATGTGCTTTAAACTACTCTCCCTGGTTCGGGTTGCTACAATATTGCAACATTGGTTTCATTGTCAGCGCCGCTAAAGCCAAACAAGTGCGACACTTGCTTTGCTGCTCTCTATATACTGTAAGATTTGCTTGAAACGTTTTTCCTTTAATATACATTTTTTTTGACTCGCTGGTTGTTATGTTTCTGATAAAAAATCTTGAAAAAATAAATGTAAACTACATAAGCAGTGGTGAACGCGCTGCGCTGCTCTATTTATGTCACAGCTATTTTGCGTTCACTCCTTGTTTTACGCAATTGACATTAATTTTTCAAATTTTATTATCAGAATCACCATAGACTGCAAGGAAGTAAACTGTT